AAAAAAATATTTTTTCATAAAATTATTATTGTCAATACTTCTGATGTTTGGATGATGTTTAAGGGTTTTGGGTTATAGAGAAGGAACGGGGGTATAGTGTAAGTCATGGCCACGCGACGTTCACCTATATGATCACACCAAGAGAGAACTTACAGAAACACGGTTTAATAGAAGAGATAGTGAGATACAGCGAGGTCATGTTTTATCATTAAAGATTTAAATGGAAAAGAAGTAAGGTCGTAATCTAGACACAAATGGAAAAAAACATATGCAGTTTTCATGATTTAGAAAATTCAACAAGAAACACAGTTACAAAATACCAACATAAGTCATTTGGAACGTGCCCATACACTGCTGAAATGTGGTATCTAATTAAAACTGTAGCGCGTCACACAAATAATGTATGCAAAGAAGAAATTTGGTGTAAATGTAACAAACGAAGGTGAAAAAAATAAGATTTGATGATATGTTTTAGAAGCAAATAAGTAAGTTGCCATAACAATGCTAGCAACTGACAATTTTAGTTTAAACAATCTCGTACAGATCGTCGCAATCAGTGTCAGTGGTGGACTAACATAGAAATTAATTATGCCACAATATATATACACACACTGTCATGAAACAATATATCAACTTAAACATACAATTGTATAGTACACGATGATTAACCAAAACAGCTTCTGTACAGTCAATTTATGCGATCGTTTTCTGCTAAACGAATTGTCACCTGTTTCGCTTCTATGCATTCACTTACACGGCAAGTGTTGTGAGGATACGGGAGGCCTTAAAATTTACAAATTTTCACGGAACATTTCATATATTTTCATATACAGTCCCACGTTATGCATCAAAGTAAAAATATGTATCTTCCGTGTGTCAGAGTCTGCAAAACTTTTATTATTTTTATGGGTTTACTTATGAAAGGAAAATCAATAGAAATGTCATATTCATTGCCCGTTCATTGGTTACTTTTTCCCCGGGGTTTCATATTGTGACAACAAGGAACATGTTTTTATTTTTAACTATGATACAAAAGAGAAAAAAACATCAAAACACTCGGCAATCTTATTTATACTCGGGGGCTACGCCCCCTCGTACAAATCAGATAGCCTCGTGTTTCGATGCTCTCTCTCTATGACTTATTTAATATTTGCACATGTATTCATGACAAATATTAACTATGTATGCGGGAATTAATCATGTATAAACACGTCAAGTGATATTTACATATTATATTATATATATATATATATATATATATATATATATATATATATATATATATATATATATATATATATATATATATATATATATTAAAACAAAAATGTTTTATATTATATCGGGGCAGTTCATTTTATGAATCGTCAATGTCATGTGATTATTATCTCTTTTTTTTTAATATTATACTATATATAATTATATATTATTTCTATATGCTTCTCTTACATTGTTGTATGACTGTTTAAATGACTGAGGGTATTTTTTGTTGCAATTGTCGTTTCATCGCGCATTCACATTAAATCTTACTGATTATTAGGTCTACTATTTAAAAAACAAAACCAAAAAAATGCCAAAGTTATGTTTTTAATACTTTTATGATTTTCTGTAAAAATTTGCTTTTAATTTATTTATGTAGATGATAATATCAGTGATTTTGCATGAAAGAATGAAAGCGGAAATATTGTTGTTATAAGTAATGAATTGCATGAATTCACTTTCACTAGGATATGAACAGTTGTGAAGAAATAACGAAAACCTTGTACGTTGTAAATATTTTTGATACGTGATATGTGTACATCATTAATTTAATCATGTACGCAAAAAGGGGTTTCCCCAGCAGACGTATCGAAAAAATATGATAAAACTGTTTCAGTTTATATTGTATGGTAACATTTAAACGATAAAACGGAGTTAACTTTAGCATTGGACTGATGTGGGTTGCTCAGACGTCACACATTTACTGGCGTGGATGAAATCGATGTCTTGTTTTCTTTTCTTCTCAGAAAGCACTGCGCTCCTTAGTAACAAATGCAAAATTATATCTTAAGACACATTAAACCATATTTGATGTTCCTTGTTTCTTTTTTAATCTATAACAGAGGACAAACTCACATTTATAAGCATTCAAAATTAACAAGTGTTTTCTTTAAGAAGCCGGTGTCACTGTTTTCAGTATACTAGTTAATACTCGTGTATTCTCCGTAGCTCTTTCGTTTCTATTATTCATTTATTTATTTATTTATTTTTACCATTTTTTTGTCTTTGCCATTTTTTATAACAATGCTCTAATTTATATTATAAAACGTGACAAACACATAATTACGTATGTTGTTTTGTATTCACGACATGCGGATATTCAATCATTACCATTACTTTATCATAAAAACAATGTTGTCTTTCACTGAGGAATCACATCACATATTTACTTTTCTTTATCGTCGATTTTATACAGACTTATATAAACGGAACAAATGAAAATATTGAACATGAATAATTATAATATTCCGCGAAACATATTATTTTAATAACTTAAACATTCTTGAGACATTTTTATTGAGACATATTTGTTTTTCTTTAGGGTATCAAAAGCAGCGTCCGAGGCCAAGTGGTTAAGGTTGTTGACTTCAAATCACTTGTCCATTAACACAGTAGGTTCGAAACTCGCCTGGGACTTTGGATGCTTTGAATTGTTGAAGCTATCCAGCTAGCTGACGGAAGTCGGTGTTTCTACTCAGGCCAACCGTTCGTTTATGAAATAATGCACGGAGAGGCACCTGATGTCATCATCCACCAGTACAGTCAGAATGTCGTCATATGACATCTACAGTGTCGGTGTGACGTACAATCAAGCCAAAAACAGGCAAACATGAGTTTTACAAGTTTTAAGTTATGGTTATAGAGCATGTTAGATGATTATCATCTGAACAAAGTAGTACTGAATGTCATAGTATTTGTCAAAAAGTAGCTAAATGTAAACAAAGAAGTATTTTGTCTTCCATACAAAATAATAAATCACTATAACTAACTGAAGCAGAAGATAGTCTAGGTAATTGGCAAATGAGTAACCTTTTGGAACCTGTAACAAGACACCAATAATTAAGTAATAGAAAGAGCATCGAAACACAAGGCTATTTGATTTGTACATTTGCTATTTGCTACACCCCTCGTACAAATCAAATAGCCCCGAGTTATAATCAGTTGAGGTTCTTTCTCTTTTGTATCATAGTCAAACATAAAAACACGTTCCCTGTTGTCACAATATGAAACCCCGGCAAAAAGGAACCAATGAACGAACATCTGAATATGATATTTCTGTCGCTTTCCCTTTCTCTGCCGTCACAATATGTAAACCCCAGCAAAAATGAGCCAATCAATGGGCATGCTCTGGAGTGCGGGTAACTAATACCTGCACTCCAGTTAACGCACTGTGCATGTACGAGTTTATGTATAGCCTAGGTCACAAATAAGAAAATGCCGCCGGGCGGCGTCTGTTTCTCCAAAAAATCGCAATATCGGCCGGCGTCCGTCCGGCGGCAGTGACTATCGGACGGCAGCAGCTGAAAATTTTGCTCATCGGGCGGGCGCCTTCGAGTTTTAAGTAATACTTAAAAGCTAACGGCGGCCGGACGATAATTTTTGGGGTCACTGAGTATAAATATCATCGAGCGGACATCGTTCGGTCGCCGGGCGGTGACCGGGCGATGATTTTTTTGATCGGGCGATTTTTTGTTCTACTAAAACAGCGTCCGATTTAAAAGGCGTCTGGGCGGACATAGGCCGGGCCCCGCCCGGTGCCTGAATAGAGCTAAGTAGTCAAACGATTATCGCCCGGTACCCGGACGATTCATGTACAGGCACCGGGCGGTCATCGTTTTGTCATCCGGCGACCGGGCTGCTTGTGTTTGTTGTAATTTCAGCTTGAAGAAGTTGTAATTGCCTAAAAAAATATATTTGTGAATTTCTTTTGAATACTAGTAAACATGAATTTTTTCTTCAATGTCCATGCGAATGTCCGATTGTTTTCGCCTTTTACGGCCTCGATACTGGCCGTTGGTGACTCGTTGTCAACAACACGTACGGACCAACTCCTTGGCCTTCCCCTTGGGTTTGGCAGCTGACTTCTTTGCTGGCATAATTACAACTGGCTGATTTATCTAGTATGTCATTAAATGTAAAGTCATTGTCGCCCGGCACCCGCGCGGCAACCGTCCGATTCACTTTTAAATCGCACAGGCGCCGTACGGACATCGGGCGGCGACCGCCTGATCCGTTCAATTCTTTCTGTAAAATCCACTCGGCAAAAATCGCCCGACGACAGTTTCATTCGTGACCACGCAAGGTATCAGATTTAAAATCGCCCGGCGTCCACGACATCAAAAAAACTGCCGATTTTATAAAAATCGTTTAATCGGACGGCGCCCATTTTATTTGTGACCTAGGCATATACGATTTAACTCTGACACATTTTCAACAGAAAAGTCCCCAAACTATGATACAACTTATGTTTATTTAACCACAGTAGAAACAATCATTAATCTTGTGTGGTTTGTTGGCTGAATGTTTTGTTTGTTACAACTAGGAAGTCATAACAGGAAATCACTTTCCATAAGGAAGAAACTTCAAATTATTTATAGTTACCTTATTTCCGGAAAAAAGTCTTTTTAAAAATCATATTTTAGTGTAGAAAATGTTCAAATCTAGTTTCAATTTTGTATGTATGTGTCGTTTACGTTAAGGATTTCAACTCAACAATGTTGTAAATAATTCCGTTCCTTATAGCATAATAGGGGTATACTACATTAAACGTGTGTTTGGTTGACTCGCTCCACGTGTTAGTGGTTGAAAAACTTTGCCAACGTACCAGTAACATTAGTATGACAAAATTTAAAAACGTCAGTTATTGTAAAAAAAACTGTTTAAATAAAGGAAACTAACGGTATTTACGACGATATCTATTCTTTGTCACAGTGTTCAAAATAAAAACAAAACGTACATACCCAATACAGATATCACAATTCACATATTTACACTATTGGTTGTCTTAGCCAGAAATGTCCTATCTCATAAACAATTGCGTAACTACTAATTACATCCCATTACTACTGCTCGAGTATAAATCTACTATGGATACAGCGTACCCCTTTCTCTGCTGATAAATTATAAACGTTTTGATAACTTTATCTGAATCATCAGTAAAGGTAAAATTATTCTTCCAAATCCGACATAATCAATGACAATCTGGTAAGAGAGTCGTCACCAGCACTTAGCGAACCTTTTCATTATATAAATTTAAAATTGGAATAAAACTTTAAAACCAATAGACTGGATAAAATTGTGGATTTCGTAGAGTAAGAAGAATCAATTTCTGTGTGAAGCATGGCTCAAGTTATTATCTCTACATTGTCTCAAAATGTAACTGATGGCTATTCGACAAGGTGAGAATTTTTGTTTGTTTTAAATAAATTATATTGATATATTTTCTTATCTTTATACTGCATTATAGCAAATGACTTTAAAGAATTTCAACCGAGCTATATGTGATTATTATTATTATACTTTACGAATTTACGGGTGATGGAAAACTAATAATAAGAAAAACCCACATAAAATATTTTTATATATACTGTATATGTTTTAAAAATCACCATTAATAAACGCTACAAAATTTTGTTATAAAAATGAGAAGCGATTCAGAGTCAACATAACCGGGTCACTATATCAAACTTGACGTGCAATGACAAGAAAAAAAATCATGCCTATTGCTGTGTTCTCACCGCCGATCAGATCTACTCGATCAAGCACGATCAAGGGATCGGGTACCGGTCTAGCTCGGTCTGCATGCGTGATCGGGGGTGGTCGGAGCGGTCTACCTTGGTCGGCATGGCTCGGGCTTCCTACCCTAATTTTTTTAACATGTCAAAAAAATTCGAGTAGCGATCGAGTAGATAAGCGGTCGAGAAGCGATCATATAGTGATCGAGTAGAAGATCTAGTTGATCGAGAAAAAATCTAGTTTGGTCGGGTATACATCTCTTCCCCGTTCTGTACACGATCATCTCGACTTCTACTCGAGCATTATCCGATCAGGTCGAGTGGAAATCTGGCAACGATCGAGCAGAGGTCCACTTAGTCTAGTTGAGATCATGTATGACTCGCGTATAGGTCTGGGTGATGGAGAAGAAGTCGGGATGTTGGTCGGGTTGTCGTCGAGAAGAAGTCGTAAAACATCGTGTAGGGTCGACTTGAGGAGATCGTGTAGGAGTCGTGAATGTGCATTTAATCCAGCTTGGTCGGGCTTCATCGGGGAATTAATGTGATCGAGACGATCGAGTAGATCTGATCGGCGGTGAGAACATAGCATAAGCTAAGTATCGGTCATCTTAAAGTGGTTACATGCACATTGTCTACACAGAGACACTTATATACAAATCGTAAGTAAAAGTAAGCAAAACTGTAAATATGTTTGGTGAATACCAACACGTAAACATTTGTAAACTTGTTACATAAATACAAATCTATCATCTTTATTGAATAACTTTGCATTGTGGTATACTTATGCATTACAGATACAAAAGGACTGGCATTAAAGAATCATATGCTCTGGCATTATTGATACACTCATTCTGGCATTATTAATATACACTTTCTGACATTATAGATACAAAAGGTCTGACATTATAGAAAAACTAGTTTAAGCATTATAGATATTATTGTTTTGGCATTATACATATACTAGTTCAAGCATTATAAATACACTCATTCTGGCATTATATAAACACACATTCTATTTACACCAATTCTGGCATTAAAAATATATTCTTGAATATAAGATACACATGTTCTGGCATTATAGATACACACGTTCTGGCATTATGGCTACACATGTTCTGGCATAAAAAACACACACGTTCTGGCATAATGTTCTGGCATAATAGTAAACATGTTCTGGCATAATAGATACACAAGTTCTGGCATTATAGATACACAAGTTCTGGCATTATAGATACACATGTTCTGGCATTATAGTAAACATGTTCTGGCATTATGGCTACACATGTTCTGGCATAAAAAACACACAAGTTCTGACATTATAGATACACAAGTTCTGGCATTATAGTAAACATGTTCTGGCATAATAGATACACAAGTTCTGGCATTATAGATACACATGTTCTGGCATTATAGATACACAAGTTCTGGCATTATAGTAAACATGTTCTGGCATAATAGATACACAAGTTCTGGCATTATAGATACACATGTTCTGGCATTATAGATACACAAGTTCTGGCATTATAGTAAACATGTTCTGGCATTATGGCTACACATGTTCTGGCATAAAAAACACACAAGTTCTGACATTATAGATACACAAGTTCTGGCATTATAGTAAACATGTTCTGGCATTATAGATACACAAGTTCTGGCATTATAGATACACATGTTCTGGCATAATAGTAAACATGTTCTGGCATTATGGATACATTATAGACCCACAAGTTCTGGCATTATAGACACACAAGTTCTGACATTATAGATACACATGTTCTGGCATTATAGATACACATGTTCTGGCATTATAGTAAACATGTTCTGGCATTATAGTAAACATGTTCTGGCATTATGGATACACAAGTTCTGGCATTATGGATACATTATAGACCCACAAGTTCTGGCATTATGGACACACAAGTTCTGACATTATAGATACACATGTTCTGGCATTATGGCTACACATGTTCTGGCATAAAAAACACACGTTCTGGCATTATAGATACACAAGTTCTGGCATAATAGATACACAAGTTCTGGCATTATAGATACACATGTTCTGGCATTATAGTAAACATGTTCTGGCATTATAGATACACAAGTTCTGGCATTATGGATACATTATAGACCCACAAGTTCTGGCATTATAGACACAAGTTCTGACATTATAGATACACATGTTCTGGCATTATGGCTACACATGTTCTGGCATAAAAAACACACACGTTCTGGCATTATAGATACACAAGTTCTGGCATAATAGATACACAAGTTCTGGCATTATAGTAAACATGTTCTGGCATTATAGATACACATGTTCTGGCATTATAGATACACACGTTCTGGCATTATAGATACACAAGTTCTGGCATTATGGATACATTATAGACCCACAAGTTCTGGCATTATAGATACACAAGTTCTGACATTATAGATACACATGTTCTGGCATTATTGCTACACATGTTCTGGCATAAAAAACACACACGTTCTGGCATTATAGATACACAAGTTCTGGCATAATAGATACACAAGTTCTGGCATTATAAAAACACAAGTTCTTGCATTATAGATACACATGTTCTGGCATTATGGCTACACATGTTCTGGCATAAAAAACACACACGTTCTGGCATTATAGATACACAAGTTCTGGCATTATAGTAAACATGTTCTGGCATAATAGATACACAAGTTCTGGCATTATAGATACACACGTTCTGGCATTATAGATACACATGTTCTGGCATTATAGACCCACAAGTTCTGGCATTATAGACACACAAGTTCTGACATTATAGATACACAAGTTCTGGCATTATGGATACATTATGGATACACATGTTCTGGCATTATAGACACACAAGTTCTGACATTATAGATACACAAGTTCTGGCATTATAGATACACAAGTTCTGGCATTATAGATACACATGTTCTGGCATTATAGATACACAAGTTCTGGCATTATGGATACACATGTTCTGGCATTATAGACACACATGTTCTGGCATAATAGATACACAAGCTCTGGCATTATGGATACATATGTTCTGGCATTATAGATACACAAGTTCTGGCATTATAGATACACATGTTCTGGCAATATAGATACACAAGTTCTGGCATTATAGACACACAAGTTCTGACATTATAGATACACAAGCTCTGGCATTATAGATACACAAGCTCTGGCATTATAGATACACAAGCTCTGGCATTATAGATACATTATAGACACACAAGTTCTGACATTATAGATACACAAGTTCTGGCAATTTAGATACACAAGCTCTGGCATTATAGATACACAAGCTCTGGCATTATAGATACACATGCTCTGGCATTATAGATACACATGCTCTGGCATTATAGATACACATGTTCTGACATTATGGATACACATGCTCTGGCATTATAGATACACATGCTCTGGCATTATGGATACACATGTTCTGACATTATAGATACACATGCTCTGACATTATAGATACATTATAGACCCACAAGTTCTGGCATTATAGATACACAAGCTCTGGCATTATGGATACACATGCTCTGGCATTATGGATACACATGCTCTGGCATTATAGATACACGAATTCTGGCATTATAGATACACATGTTCTGACATTATAGATACACGAATTCTGGCATTATAGATACACATGTTCTGACATTATGGATACACATGATCTGACATTATGGATACACATGTTCTGGCATTATGGATACACATGTTCTGACATTATAGATACACGAATTCTTGGCATTATAGATACACATGCTCTGGCATTATGGATACACGAATTCTGGCATTATAGATACACATGTTCTGGCATTATAGATACACGAATTCTGGCATTATGGATACACATGTTCTGACATTATGGATACACATGCTCTGGCATTATGGATACACATGTTCTGGCATTATAGATACACAAGCTCTGGCATTATGGATACACATGCTCTGGCATTATAGATACACATGTTCTGGCATTATGGATACACATGTTCTGGCATTATGGATACACATGTTCTGACAATATAGATACACATGTTCTGGCATTATGGATACACATGTTCTGGCATTATGGATACACATGTTCTGACAATATAGATACACATGTTCTGGCATTATAGATACACATGCTCTTGGCATTATAGATACACATGTTCTGGCATTATGGATACACATGTTCTGACAATATAGATACACATGTTCTGGCATTATGGATACACATGTTCTGGCATTATGGATACACATGTTCTGACAATATAGATACACATGTTCTGGCATTATAGATACACATGTTCTGGCATTATGGATACACATGTTCTGGCATTATGGATACACA